CTCACTTGCTTAGCGTAGGCTTTGAAACCAGGAGATGTGGCCTGTTTCAAGGCCACTGCAAGAGCGCCTATTTGGTGATTGTGTGGGCCTCCCTGAAGAGAAGGGAACACGGCAAAGTTGATCTTGTCCTCAAATTCGTACGCAGCACCTTCTGGTTGGCCCTTCTTGGCCGGCTTGAGACCCTTCCTGTAGAAGATCATGCCAGCTCTAGGACCCCTTAGACTCTTGTGTGTAGTAGTTGTGACCAAGTCACAGTACTCAAAAGGATCTGCTGCTTCCTGCAATCATTCGTCATAACATAATGCATGAATGTTGAACTATTTATGGCAGGATAATGTATTAAGGAACCACCATGATTTCTTAAAATGCTATTTGTGTTTTGCATTTCCTTGATTGAAAGCATCGAACAAATAGTATTAGGAAATAAATCATTCAGAAGATCATATTTGGAATGTCAAACTCGAACACATTTTCTAATCAAGGTTTAAGTTAACTTGGATCTACAGAAACCACAACCAATATATAATTTATTAACAGATAAACTAGGCCCAGGAACACTTGGCAAAGCAAAATTTATAAATTTCTGGATCTAAGCGTGGGCATGATATTAGATTTGCTCTAAAAGAAACACGACCACACAAGAAGCAATCGATACCCAAATACCTGAAACAAACAAAACATACATATTCGACATCATAGATCATATTATTTACCATTGCATACGAGAAAACAAGAAGAATGGCATGGGCCCAACTAAATCGTTCATGCAACAAAATGGTCTAGACAACCATTAGATATCCCATTACAAGAATATGATCATATATCATAAGCTCAATATACAAACAAATCGAGCAAACTAATCAAATTCAGAAAGGACAAAAACATGAAGAAAGGGCACGCATGTATGTATACCTGAGCAGCAACAAGGCCACTGATATGAGCCATATCACAGAGCAACAGAGCTCCACACTTGTCCGCAATATCCCTGAACCTCTTGTAATCCCAATCCCTTGGATAAGCACTTCCTCCACAAATGATCATCTTGGGCCTGAAATCCATAGCCTTCTCCTCGAGTCTATCGTAATCAATATACCCCGTCTTCGAATCCACCTTGTAGGGCAAGCTCTCGAAATAGATCGAGGTGGCGCTGATCTTCTTCCCGCCGGAGGTGTAATAGCCGTGGGTCAAATGGCCGCCGGATGGCAGATCGAGGCCCATGATTCGGTCGTGGGGGTTGAGCACCGCGGTGTAGGCGGCGAAATTGGCGGGGGAGCCGCTGTAGGGCTGGACATTGACGCCCCATTTGGTGGGGTCCAATCGGTAGGCTTGGAGGGCGCGTGAGCGCGTGAGGTTCTCGATCTGGTCGATGTACTCGTTGCCGCCGTAGTAGCGGTTTCCGGGCATGCCCTCGGAATACTTGTTGGTGAGGGCGCTGCCGAGGGCTTCAATGACGGCGAAGGAGGTGAAGTTCTCGGAGGCGATGAGTTCGATCCCGTGGCACTGGCGGCGCTTCTCCTTCTCAATGAGGTCGTAGATCTCGGGATCCACGGCGGAGAGAGGGCTGTTGCCCCATTCAGAAACTGGATCCATTCTCAGCGTACGTGCGTGTTTGTGGGAAAATAACTAACGTGCAGTGCAGTAGAAGAGATGGAGGGGAGATTGGTGGGCGTGAGATGCCTGCCTGTGGCTGCATTTAAAGGTGGGCGTCAGTTGGGGATGAATGACCATAATGACCTGGGGTTGTTGGAAATGGTCCCTGCACCAACAATTTTTCACCTCTTACATTTTATTTTAATCTTATTATTAGTATATTATCATGTTATTGTAATTTAAGTTGTCTTTGGTAAGTATATAAATTAACTTATAATTTATTTAATTAATTTATAATTTTCTTGTATTCAAATAAACTTGATTTGATAGGATAAATTTTTTTAAAAAGTTCAAAGTTATTTTATAAGTTTCCTTAGGTAGCTTTTTAAATAAGTTCATTGAAATTTTCATTGTAACTAGTTTATCAACTATTCTTATTAAACTTCTTTATCATATAAATTAGTTTTTCAGCCATAAATCATAAGTTACCAGCTATAAGCTTAAAATTCATTTAAAAATGATAAGATCAATTAGGTTTGTCGAATGAATGGTTTTCCGCGTAACTACAAAATATCCGGACCCAAATTCCCCACCGACATAATTATATCTAGTCTGATACTAAAGAAATCTTACCTAATTCACGTAGGGGAAATTCGAACCAGCCAAGTGCAGTGCCATTTGTTTTTTCAAAGTTAATTTAACACATATGTGCGTGGGTGTGTGTCTTCGCATGTGTAAATCAACAGTGAAGAGTCCGTGGAGGTAGTGCCCCTCATGCAGGATCAAATTCTCCTTCACCTAGGAAATATTTGGAACTTATGATGGGATTGAAGTTTAGGGAAAAAGACAATTATCACTCGTATGGAAAGTATAAAACTAGTACAGAACCCGTGCGATGCACGAGGTGCACAATTTTAAGGCTATTTATCCAAACTTATAATTATATGCATGAATACAGAAAAATGTACGTGACCCGTGAGAGACACGGAATATATTTATTTGAGGAAAACTATATTATAAGATGCAATATTCAATAAAAGTTTTATAATACGCAGGAAAATTGTACAATAAGATAGTATTCGACAAACAAACAATCATATATTATTAAAGACTTCCTTGTACACAACATTATGAGTTTGATTTTCCATACAATAATAATAAGATTTTTTGTAAAAAGATAAGAAGGAATTTTCAATCTACACAAACTTTAAACATTAGATGTGTTTACTTAAATCAATGGCTATATACACAACTAAACCCTTCAATTTAGGCTTGGCATCTACTTTATTTATGGGTGACGTAAAATAAGGATTTAATTTGGACCCATTAAATTTTTATTCATAGGCTTGACATATAAAACTGATTTGATGGGATTTTCTTAACTAAACTGATGTTATGGAATAAAACAAATCTATACTTACCTTTGACTTTTTCAGCAAAGGTAAAAAATCGGTTCTGATTTTTATCCCATAACAAATCTTTAATGTCAAGCCTATAAATACCAAAACAAATTTGTAATCAATATCATTCTATTTCCAGCAAGCATTAATTACCTTTGACTTTTCTACCTATTATTTCTAGTAAATACGATGGCTTTTATATAAGTATAGATTTCATATAATGCAAAGACTGAGATCATAAAAAAGAATCCTAAAAACTGAAACAATATATTTGCATAATTTAAGGCCATTAAGAAATCGATCTCTAAATCAGATTTGATTTTCAGAATATGTTTTTTTATTTCGAATTCCATACAAAATGGAATTCTTTTCAACCAATAGATGTCAGAGCAAATATTAACTCTTAACTATTAGACTATTAGTACATACCAAGCAAAATGTGTACTGATTTTAGAAAGTTAAAATGATTCATGTTAGGTAATTTACATTTTATGCATGTTGAACGGTGGGTTTTAAATATTGTTTCATAGAATGTAAAAGTGTATTATATTATTTTTATGAGATGTTGAATTTGAAAATTAATAGAATTCGTCTTCATATGAATTTTAAATGTAACAATATTCTTTGGTATACACTATTAATAAAATCTATATTTAAAGTTTATATTTTTTTTTTTACCGGAAAAAATTTCTTAATTTAAGGAATCATATATCTTCAATCAGTCCACATCTATATACATTCTTCACAAATTTAAATCTTGAATTTGATGAGAATTCGTATCTATGAGTACAAAATATGGTTTAACAAATTAATTTTTTATATTATTCTAGCCATACTTCTTTATACAATTTTTTGTGAAAATATAAAAGTAAATTCTTAATTTTAAATCAGCCGTACATTAAAGAATACAAATTTGTTGAAATTACAAAAGTAGTTTTTTACTTTTAAACAGACGTAAATTTAAATCAATCATAAAAAAGTAATATTTGTTTACCATTTAAGGTTAATGTTGCTCTATTTTTAGGAGATATTAAATATATTTGGCGGGAAAAACTTGCTAAAAGTGTTAAATGATTAATCTTTTAATATAATGATAGATAATTTAATTTATACTCAATTCATACTCAAAATTTAACTTAATCATACTATCTTCAACAGAGACGGATGTGTAGCCGGCCCAGAGGGCACTGGACCCCCCTAATTTTTTTTTAAAAAAAAATCAGGAGTATTTTAGTAAATTCCTAATAATATATAAAAAAATACATATGGGTAAATCGGATGGAACTTGGATGCTGAATAAAAAAAATTATACCCAACATAAGAAACAAACCCTTAGATTTGAGAAACTGAGAAAAATATCCTCTCGATCCCGTACGGGCAGTAGTGTACCGCCGACCACCGTGAATCGTCCTTCCTCCATCCAGCTTCAGTTCAATTCAATCTGTCTGGCTTCGAAAAATCATCTTGTTGAGTAAGTAATTTTTATACCATTCTCTACTTTAAATGGAGGATATCAATGCGCGATTTATTTTGGGGAAAAAAAAGAAAATTGAATTTTTCTTTTTTTAAGGAAATCTGTACAGATATTTCCGTTTACATGTTTTTTTTATTTATGGGACATTTTTTTTTTCTTTCGTCTAGCAAACAACGTGTTCATTTGGTGTTTGTTCTTTCATTTTTTTTCTTTAGTTATTTAATGTGTTATGTTGAGGATGGAGGTCCAATGTAGTGGGACTGTTGAGGATGGAAGTCTGTAGACTACTAGACTAGTGGGATTCTCATAGATTTTTAATGTGTTATTTAATTGTATGTTTTGTTCTTTCTGTATTGTTTGTTTTGTTCCCAACTATTAAACCTTGTTTGATTTTGGAGATTGTGGGCAACTTGGGTTTTGGTGGATTAATATTTTATTTAGTGTGTATTTGAATATTTGATTGTTGAATATTTTAGCCCTCACAAATATTTTATCACATATTCTAAATTTTATTTATTTATTTTAAAATATAGATCATGGAACGATTTTATAAAAGATTGTCACAGAGTGTTGAATCATCATCCTCACCAAGTAAAGCTCCTACAACGGCCGCATTATCCCCGCCATCCAAGATGCCTCCCATTTGTGGTGACTCTCAAGTTCCATTATCAAATCAAGATAATTTAGAGTTTAATTTGAATAATCTTCTAAGCGATCTTGGACTACGACCGAGCATAACGAGCTATCCGCCAAAGTTGATAGAACAGGTTCGTAGAGCTTACTTGTTAAAAGGTCCATGTCAACCACGTGAGTATGATTTTCCTCACACTTTAGATGGAAATCGAAAATGTAAATTTATTGCATCTTGGTTTGATGAATTCAAGGATTGGGTGAAGTATAGAATTGTGAAAGATGTTGCATACTGTTTATATTGTTATCTCTTTTTTATGGGGAGCAGTGAAAGAGGCCCTGACGCTTTTGTAATGGGAGGATTTAATAATTGGCGAAAGAAGGAAAGATTAAGAGATCATGTTGGGAATCATAACAGTGATCATCATAAATGTAGAGTTGCTTGTCAAAATCTGATGAATCAAGCTCAACATATTGATGTGTCTATTTCAAAAGCAACAAATCAATCTAAAATTGATTACCGTTGTAGGTTGAATGCATTGATTGTTTGCTTGTGTTATCTCATTATGCAAGGTCTACCTTTTCGAGGGAATGATGAGTCGTATGAATCTTTAAATCAAGGAAACTTTGTTGAACTTCTAAAAGTTCTTGCTTCATGTAATGAGGAAATACACAATGTTGTGTTGGGTAATGCTCCTGAAAACCATAAACTTACTTCTCTTATGATTCAAAAAGATATAATTAGAGCGACATCAATTGAGACAACAAATGCTATTATTGAAGATCTGGGACATGACTTTTTCTCCATTTTAGTTGATGAGTGCCGGGATATCTCAGTAAAAGAGCAAATGGGTGTTGTCATACGTTATGTAAATAAGAGTGGATGTGTTATTGAACGCTTTCTTGGTTTGGTGCATTTTAGTGATACGACTGCAACTTCACTCGAGCAAGGTATTTGGTCTTTGTTCTCTATTTATGGCTTGAGCATCTCTAGTTTAAGAGGACAATGTTATGATGTAGTGAGCAATATGAAAGGTGAGTTCAACGGACTAAAAAGTTTGATATTAAAGAAAAATTCCAGCGCTTACTACGTCCATTGTTTTGCTCACCAACTCCAACTCACACTCGTTTCTGTTGCTAAAAAGCATACAAGTGTCAGTTATTTTTTCAATACTCTTACTCGTTTAACTAATATTGTTGGAGGTTCTTGTAAGCGTAGAGATATGCTCAGAGAAAAGCAAAAGGAGAAAGTAATTGAGGGGATTGCAAGCAATGAGATTGAGACTGAAAAAGGATTAAATCAGGAGATGACTGTGAAGCGACCGGGTGACACTCGTTGGAGTTCGCATTATGGTACTCTCATAAACTTGGTACATTTATTTCCATCTAATATTGATGTTCTTGAGTATATTGGGGAAAGAGGAAATGATGATTCACAAAGGGCCGAAGCCATTGATTTGTTGGAGATTGTGAATATGTTCAACTTTGTTGTGTACAAATTGTTATATTACCGAGTACCGAATCGAATGATCCGTTCCCCGGGTCGATCTCTTGAGGAAGGCGGTTCGGAATCTAGAATTGGTGTTGATGACACACGAAAGCAAGATAAATCCTAAACACTCTAATCACAATTAGGGTTTGAACTATCAGCTAGAAAATAACAGAAAATGCATAAAACATAAATTAACTCAAGAACATGAAATAAACAATGATAAAGATGCTAGGGAATCGGGAATATTTGTTTCGGTTCGAATTGTCGTTAACGGGCAAGTGATTGTTCGGTTAAATGACTCGAATAACCTACTCGTTCAGAGATTCATCCTCAATAACTTTTTGTAACAAGAGAACAAACTAGAACGGCAAATTAACAATTCATTTAACTCCTAGGCAATACAGTTACGAGCAAGCCTAGTTCATACGAGCCTATTTCGACCGACTCCTCCCCTTTCGGTTCTAAGAGTCGATTAAAGTAGACTAGAGGGTGGTTAATCGACTAGTCCGTTAAGAGTTAAAAACATCAAGCACGAATTTATCGAATTCAATCCAAACAATTGCAAGTTGAAGTGTCACTCTTCAACAATTCTCAAAACTCAAGCTAAAAATTGAAAAAACCCTACTAAAAGATTAACTCGTATGAATTTGAACAACCTGAGCCCGACAATCACAAACGATTTCAAAACATCAATCCCCTATCCCTAGCATATGAATTTAGCCACTCATCATCAATTCAACATCAATATCAATCAAAGCCATCATCATCACAGATAAAATGAAATAGAAAGCTTACAATTAAATATGAATCCAATGTCGAAAGAACAACGAACAATCCAAATCCACGAGTCAAATCTTGGTGTTTTCACAATCCAAGATCAATTCCAAGTGAAAGATAAGAGAAAACTGAGTTATGGGGTGGAAAAGTACGAGAGCCAACTCAAAACCTAAGTGGAACATCCCCCAAAACTGATCAAAATCGTGAAATAAAAATCCTGCTGTCGCGACCTCCGCGGCCGCGACTTCCTCCTCCGCGGCCGCGGTGAAGAAATCCCGCGGCCACGACCATCTCCGAGGCCGCGAGCTCATCTGGCCAGTTTTGGGGTGTTCTGGGACTCTCGCGGCCGCGACTACCTTCTCCGCGGCCGCGGTGAAGAAATCTGGGCAGCTGCGCGCTGCTTTACGTTTCGAGCTCGTTTGGGCTCGTCCGAACTCGGAATTGAGTTCCGTTTTTTGCTATACGTCACCAACGAACCCATCTATCCAGTTATGCTCTCAAAACCAACTTTTCCTGAAGAGAAAATTCGCCCAAAGCTCCTGACCTACACACCAAAAATGACAAAACACAAAAGAGAACCGGAAAAACAAACGAAAAACACCTAAGGACTCAAGATGAAGAAAAACACATAATAAAACACGAAACGGACTAAAAACTAAAGAAACAACCTAAAATGGGGAAAAAGAAAGATAAAACAAACACGAAAACGCAACAAAAATGAGACAAACAAACTTCATCTTTACTTTACATTTTATGGTGAAAATTTTGGGAGTCACACATGAGTTATCTCAAGTTCTTCAAAAAAGGGATCAAGATATTGTTAATGCGATGATACTTGTTAAAGTTGCTAAAGTTCGTATGCAAGCCATCAGAGACAATGGTTGGGATGATTTACTTGCTGAAGTTTCTAAGTTTTGTGGCAAACATGATATAGTTATATTGGATATGGAAGGTGTGTATGCCGCTCGAGGAAGACCAAGGTGCAACGTTGAAAAGACTACTAATGTTCACCATTATCGAGTTGAGTTGTTTTATTCCGTGATTGATATGGTAGCTCAAGAGCTTAACAATCGGTTTGATGAAGTGAACACAGAGCTACTCTTGTCAATGGTATGCTTTGATCCGAGAGACTCATTTTCTGCATTTGATAAAGGAAAATTGCTCCGTCTTGCAGAATTTTATCCTTCAGAGTTTTCTACAGTTGCTTTACTTGAACTTAAAAATCAGCTCGAGAATTTCATTTTTGATACGCGCTTAGATGAAAACTTCTTGAATGTCGCTAATATTGGAGATCTCGTTCAAAAGATGGTGACTAGAAGAAAACATGATGTTTTTCTATTGGTTTACTTGTTGATTAAGTTGTTGTTGATTTTGCTACAGTGGAAAGAGCTTTTTCGCAATGAAAATCATCAAAAGTACACTACGCAACCAAATGGGAGATGAGCTTTTGAATGATTGTTTAGTGACATACATCGAGAAAGATATATTTCAGAACATTAGCAAGGAGGCTATCATGCAACGATTTCAAAACATGAAAAATAGAAGAGAAATGTTGTGATCTCTCAATGTAATTGTAAGTTATTTCTGGAATACTCGGATATATATATTATATTTGTTAAGCCAGTACTTGTACTGATTTATTTATTTTTACAGTTGATGTTTTTTTTCGTTATTATTAGTTGGGCATTTTTATAGTTGATGGTTTTTTTTTTTGTTATTATTAATTGGGCCCCCCTCGATAAAATTTCTAGATCCGTCACTGGTCTTCAATATTATCAATATAATTAAATAAATTTAGTCAATCATTATTACACATCACATCAACTTTAATTCACTATGATTGACTCACATAATTTTAACTAATCATCACTTCACATCATCTTTCTCCTACTTTTACATCAAATTAATTTTTATTAATTTATTTTAAATATTATTTAATCCTACCAACTAATCATACCACATTTTTCAAAATTAATCATGATCATTAACAAAAATACTCGTTTGGAGCTGATATATTTGTATCCAAGCACACCCCTTAGGGCGCGATGAGATACAATTTTGACCGATTTCGTTTGGTTAAAGTGAATTAAAGTAAATCAGTATGAATAAAATAGATTGATCTGATTATATTAATTTAAAAATAAATAATATTAAAATGTAGTAATTAAAGTGTATTTGATGTAAAAGTATGAGATAAAATATTAGAAGTCATATATAGTTAAAACTATGTGGGTAGATGAATAGTGAATTATAATTGATGTGATTTGTGAGAATGTTTAATTGGTATTACTTAATTATATTTATATAAAGTATGAGAGTTTAGTTAAATTGAATTTTGAGTTATAACCGGTTAAAATATGTTATAACGCGTATCCAACCACACCTTTATGAATTTTCGTGGGATTGAAGTGTAGGGAAAAGGACAATTATCACTTATTATAGATGCTTGTCGGTAAGTTTGAAAGGAGCCCGAAATTTTTCAAGTTCGATAAAAAATCACTTATGTTGGGAATATTGCATAACACCCCATGAGATATTTTTTTTTTCCCCCACCTTATCTCATCAATTAATAAGATCATTCTACCCTTCAAAACATAGTTGATGTGTCAATTTATCACGAACCGAGTTGAATTGATTATTCCTTGAACGTTCGCCTTCTTCGAACTTCCGTGACCTGCAATGTGCTGAGAAGGGGTGATGAAGATCGTGAATCCAACGACTTGTTTGCCTCCGACGGACGCGCAATAGGCCTTTCCTCTTTGGCGATAGATTGCACAAACGATGCGCCTAATCAACTCAAGAATTGTTATTCGAACTGAGCTATTCACGAACAACTAATTTAGGGTTTTAGGTTTAATAAACAAGCAAGCTGACCGAACTATCACGATCTTCAGCGAGTCAAACTCGAGTAGGACCTTATATTCGTTTGTTAAACGAGCACAAGCTCAAACACGTGTTACTCATCTATGCTACAGTGACACTTACAATCAACTCAATCTAGATATATTTATCTAATTATTGCTTAATTTATTTTTTGTTTTTGCATCATGTTGCAATAAAAAATATTGTTAGGATATATTTTTACAAGACACAAACAATATCAAAAGACAATATCTGTATCTTTTAAAGTTATCAATAATACTCAGAATAATTCTATATAAACAAATAAACTCTTACCAAATAAACTAAATATTTTAATATTATAAAAATAGAAATTTATAAATTAAAAAGAGAAAACAAATAGTTATTGACATGTGCAAACTATACAATCATTTAACCAATAAAAAGTCAAATTCACAAACAAGCAAAATTAGAGAATAAAAGTATACAGACATAAAATAATCATAAATAATAACATCAAATATTCACGATGAAAATAAAAATTATACAAGCTATTAAAATAAATGAGTATAATAATAGAGTATGAAATTGATATAAAATATTGATATGAGATATCATACCTAAGGGAATAAACCGGTAGGCTAAACTGATCGAGCCATTTGGTCGAGCAGAACCACACCAGGGCAGGTGGTGGTCAAACGTCATTAACTTAGAACAAAGAGCCTTCGAGCTGGAAGACAAGGTGAGGGGTACAGGACAGTCGGTCAAGCTAGGACCCTCGGAAGGTCTGCTAGAAGCTCGGCCTGCAGGCATGGTTGGTCGTGTTATCGACCAGAGAAACAACACTTGATATAAGACAGTCAATGTTTTATCTCGTCAGACCTCGAGTTGGCCGTACTATTAAGTGGCTTAATACGAGGGATTAAAGGATAAAAAAGAATCTTGCCATAATGAGTTCAACAAGTGGGGCAGTGCGAGTTGTACTATTGGGCAGCTAGTTCAGGCAGCCTTCTAGAAGCAGGTACTTCATCCCTATAAATAGGATTTCAGCATTACGTTCATTTTCCATATACTTTATGTACTTTATCATCTTCTATAAGTACTCATTTAAGCATCGAAACTCTTTACCGAAGAACCCCTCTAGTACTGTGAGAGTATTTGCAGGTCTAAAGACATTCAACTGGCGGAGGAGCTCAAAGGCAGGCCGATTCCAGCCGGTCGGAGTTATTTACACACCAAATATAAAGTTGTACACATCAACATAGAGAACAGAGAGAATGAAGAGAGTCACATAAGTCCAACAAATCTCGCTAGTTTGGTGAGATTTATGCTATGATTTTGTCTTTGTTAATTTTGTTAAAAAAAAGTTTTTAAAAGTCTTATAATTTAAAAAGTCTCATAAAGTTTTCATAGTTTGAATATCGAGTGACTTATAGAGACTCAATGAAAGTTTTATTTGAATAAACTGAGACTTTCAGAGATTTATATAAAGTCTTTAAAAGTCTCAATTGAATAAAGGTAACGTCTTCAAAATTTTATTAAATTCACAAGAATTCTAAAAGTCTTTTATAAGTTTAAATTGAATACGCCCTCCTAAAGAAACAACACAAGTCACCACATTATTTTGAGATGGGTCATGCTAACATAAAGTTTGACATAATAGTAATATTTGCCAGGTTGCAAAATACATCAACTTTAAAATTAAAAAATCTTATCCTTATAAATTTATGTCATGTAAGGGCGTGCTTGGATACAGATAAATCTGCTCAAAACGAGTTGTTTTGGTTAACCAAAGTTAATTTTAAAAAAAATGGTATGGTTGATTATTAGTAGGTTTTGAGTTTATATTAAAATAATTTGAAGTAAAATAATTAAAGTTGATTTTATATAAAAACAGGAGATAGATGGTGCGAACTGATGATTACTTAAAATTATTTGAATAGATGAATAGTGAATTAAAGTTGATGTCATGTGTAACGATGATTAATTGATATATTTAATTATATTTATAATATTAAGGATAATTGGGTTGAACTAAAGTTGAGTTAGATTTTAAGAATAAATGGGTTGAGTTATATTTTAACTATAAATGAGTATGGAACACACCCTGAACAAATTTGATGGTGAGCTTACTTCTATATACAACGCGGGGACTGAGAGCATACTTGGATACATGATTTCTAAAAAAAATTCAATCACTTTTAACCAATCACTTTTTTTATCTCAAATCTAACTCAAGTTTAACACAATTTCACTATTCTCAATATTATTAATATAATCAAATAATATCAATCATTTATCTTTACACATTACATCAATTTTAATTCACTATTTATCTACTCACATAATTTTCACTAACTATCATTTCACATTATATCTCTCATACTTTTACATCAAATCAACTTTAATTATTATATTTTAAAACTTATTTAAATAAATTCAAAATCCCACTCTCAACCAATCATATCATTATTTTTAAAATTTACTATAGTTAAAAAAAAATTCAAATAAAACAAAACTTTTTGATCTCGCACATGCATTATTCATTCTCAAAATCCAATGTGCACCCAACTTTGACTTATCAATCGTTACTACACAGATTAGTCACCGCCTTCTCAAAGAGAGAACAAATAACAAGATCACACTCTCGAAAATCTCGCCGTCTGCTTTTTTGGGTAAAAAACTGCACTGTCTGTTCATGATGATTCCGAATGCCTCTTCTATATCAAGCTATGGCGATTTAAATCTGTCTTTACGACATCTTCTGTTAAATCACCATAAAGTGTTGGCTTCTCCATTGTTCAGCCGGAAATGCAGACGTCGAAATTTCCGAGTTCACAGCCAGTCCCAGGTAATATATATTATACAATTGGATTGCCATTTCTTTCAATAACCTTCTTATTTTCTCTTTTTCAATTTCCGCATCGGTTTACATTTCGTCTTCCTAATAAGAGGTTTTTGGTTTGTTTCTGAACATGTCGATCTGTTTCAATTTTCAAGTGAATTCATTGAATTACGGTAGTTTATGATAAGAAAGTAGTAGCTGATTTACTTCTTATGTAGTTATTGATTGTTTGTGGAATGTGTAAGTGTAACTGCTTCTGTTATATTTATACTTTCCAAAAAAAGAAAGAAGCAAAACAGTGCAGTTTACATATGTCTTCTCTATTTTTCCCACACAAAGACAAACATTTACTATGGGCAATGCCAGAAGCTATAGTTACCACATGGAGTTAATCAGTATATCCTTATTTGAAAAAGTGTGTCGATCTTGAAATTGACATCATTCAAATTCACTAAACCTTTGGGATTTTAAGTGATTTTTTGAGACTTTTTGAAGATTTGAGACTTTTTAAGATTTTCAGATTTTGGATGAATTCTGTAAAATCTTGGTGGGATTTGAAGTGAAATTTCTTATAAGGTTTTTTTCTTTAGAAATCCTACCAAATCTTAAAAAAGCCTTTTAACAAATTCTAGTGTCAAATAAGTTAAATACCTTAAATACTTCAAGATTTTGCAAGACTTTTTAAAATCTCAATTGAATATTCCAAGACTTTTAATAATTCTTAACAAATCTAAATTGAATACACCATGACTTCTAAAGTCTTAAAAAGTCTTTAGAAATACCAATTGAATACACCCCACGAAAGGCCACATTTTAGTGTTACGGTTGACTGGCTAGTAAGCATCACTAGTAAAGTTCCAAGTTAGAAATTTGGGGGGCTACAATTGGAGTAAATTAAAGCATGTAACATGAGCATGAAGAACATTGTATTTATTATGTTTGGTGTTAAAATGCTTAAGTTTATCATATGGATTTTCGTGGTTGAAGTTAACTAAAGATCTTAAACTTTTGCCTAAACGGCATTTTTCATGCCATCAATGTAATAATAACCATATTTATTTCGGGTCGTATTATTTCTATATTTGTGTATTCGGCTTTCTCTCTTCTCTCATTTATATATTTCAAAGTTCATTATAGAGAAGTGTGTGCATGAGTTGAAGCTTGCAAATATGTGTATAAGTTCATACACCAGGGAGTTCTTGTCATTTTCTCCATTTTTCGGTTAAATACTTGTGATTGACAACTATGTAGTATTTTGCGGTCTCGAAACTGTTGAAACACCTGATTAGTTCTGTAAGAGGAAAAAAGAATAAAAATGAAAACAAGTAGCATAGAAGAAAATACTAAAAGATGAAATGCTGGATCACCTTATAAACACAGATCTGTTATAAAGAAAGGCGAGGGTAGAAAATGGATAAAAGAGGTTACAGAGCACACAACCTGCAGAACCTTATGAAATATGCCCAATTACAAGCGCATGTTTTAGCACATATGTGAATCATTAGTTGAATGAGTTGAATGATATATTGGTTAGATTCAACTGCTTACTCTCATTTTTAAGTCACCACACTCACAGAACAAGCATCAATTTGTTTAAATGTGGTGTTGAACGTCTTACTGCAGATTTGGTTTGATTTCAATGCACAGAAGGTAAAACACAGGCAAAACAAATCAAATGCATTAGTTGTTATTTGTTAGTCGTGTAGCATAGAAAAATGCTACAGGAGCCATGAAGCCAAAAAAGTTACCTAACCCCTCTTTCTATTTCAACTATATTTTAAGAAAAAAGAAATGCAGATCAGAAAGTTTTCTCCCGTTTTAGAAGGTGGCGTGCTATCAGAAAATGGGGTCTTACATTCTACCGAGTGGAAGACAGTTCCTGACATTTGGAGGACATCTGCCGAAAAATTTGGCGATCGCATAGCATTAGTGGACCCGTACCATGACCCTCCAACAAATATGACTTATAAGCAGGTCAAGTTTCAGAATTTTTTTTTTTTTTTTTTTTTTTTNCAACATTTTTCTACTCTATCCACTAGCATTGTTTGTAGTATGATATTCAACCTTTTTCTCCCTAATAATAAAAATGGCAAAAAAGCACATGCACAAAGGCCAACTGTTGCTCCCTCCATTTGATGTACTTGCTACTTCAGGGGTGACATTTTTATTTGAACTAAATCTGGCAAGACATAAGTTAACAAGAAACAATACGAACACTTCTAGTAAACTAAGTTTCACCATCTGAAGTTTTTTATTCGCAAAACAAAATCTTTCATCTTCTCTAATTGATGGTGAAATGGCCATTTTTCCGATTTTATTTTCTTTTGTTAAGAAAAAGCTGGTTTGCTTTGCTGATACCTGGACATGTGAACAACTTGGATATCAGTTGTACCTTTTTTTTTTTTTNCTGTTCTTTATTGGATTATCAACTTTTTGCCATCTTTTTTTCTTGATTATCATAACCCAGCTCTGGTTACTTCAATCTTTCTTCTCATATAGATGCATTCTATTACTGATGAGCTTGCTATGCATCTATTTATTTAATTTTTTGTGCATATATTAGTAGATATTTTTTTGTCAACTTTTCCAGAAATTATTTCCCAGTGATTGGGTATGCTGCAATAATGTATGGAATAAGAATGTTCCTTTGGAAAAAAGTAGAAAATGAAAGAGAATCCAGATAGAAGTCAACATGGCTGCTACTTCAGTTCATGTATTCATGCTCTAGATAGTTGTTTCATACAACAAGTAATATTTCTAAACTAAGTATTGAATGGTAAATGATATGGTTAGTATTGAAGTAGTGGATTCCTGAGAGTCTGATGGACTCCCAATCAATGTTTTTTCTCTTTTTGATTTTTGTAGAACATTATTTGTTTTGTCTCTAGTTTTTATGAAATAGTGAATTTATAAGAGTAGTTCTTTACTTACCATCTCTATTTGATTGTTTCAGGTTATCTTTTTTATATTTGATATGTTTCCTGTCATTTACTACATGTCTACTTTCCTCCTCCTCCTCCTTCTATGTTATTTATTTATTTAATTATTTATTTTTGATAAATTTGATCTGAAACATTCTCCTTTGATATATTTCAGCTAGAGCAAGAGATTTTGGATTTCTGCGAAGGATTAAGAGTCATTGGATTAGAACCAGAGGAAAAGCTTGCCCTATTTGCTGATAATTCGTGCCGGTGGCTTGTTGCAGATCAAGGTACACATCATATTGTCTGCCAATGAGAGAGTGAAGGGCGAATTGCAAGACGAAATTCAAATTAAAATTGACAATTAACTGAAAACGAAAGAAACGGAAAGAACTCAAAACAATTGCAGGCGAGTCTGAACGCCGATCAGATTTCTCCTGCCTAAGCCAAAGGCTCCTATATTCTTTTTCTCCACCCCTTAAGAGACCTAATCCTTGCTAAAATAAAACAAATTAGGGTTCTTAAACAAAAGCCTGTCCCATCATCACGTTATTCTAGCCCTAAATAAATAACTTAACTAAAAAATATGGAAATATAAATGTAGATGTGAAATAGGTTATAATTTTGAGTTCCAACCGAATACTCAAGTCTAATTCGTAATTAACTGGCAGCAGCTATATCCGCTATCACCTGGCTAAAAATGCTTTTCCTGTTTTCCTTGTGAACCTCTCTCATTTTGAGACTTTGTATTATAATTTGGTTAAGAATTCGTACTTCATTTGGATAACACTGAGTTGTTTCCAGTTTGTAATCATTACTTTCTTTAACTGGAAGATTAGAGAAATTTAATATTTGTTTCTGTCTGTAATATGTTTCAATATCTGTAATCTTGTTCCAGATGACCATGTGGAAGGGAACTTACATTTTGTAGTTGAAAATTACTTTGTTATCTTGGTAACTTCTTAGTAATGTGTTTATTTGTTCTCAGGTATTATGGCAACTGGAGCTATCAATGTTGTGAGAGGTAGTAGATCATCCGTCGAAGAGCTTTTTCAGATATACAGCCACTCTGATAGGTTAGAAAAGTTACATTTATATATATCGTCCTTATTCAAGAGTCGTCATACATAAGTAGTAAGAGTTTTATGTTTAGTTTAACTTTTATAACTTGAAGGATTCGTGGGCTTTCCAGTTATGACTGTTATGGGAGGTTTTTAAACTTTTTATTTGGTCAAACGCCGGCATGTTAGTAACTTTATGTCAGCACTTGCATGATGCAAGAATGAGAAAAATTTGTATTTGGTTGTGACGTTATAACTATCAACAAGATAATGCAAGAAAAGACTAATTTTGCACAAATCTATTTATTATAACTAGCATCGAGTCCCGTACTAAAGAACTTCCAGGTGAAACTTTCTCACAGCAGTTGGTTGTGTAAAGACACGTCAGGTTTGTATATGTTACTCATTGTAGAGTTTGAAATGCTATATCATAGCTGTACCAGAAATTGCTAGTAAAATCGAGTATGTGGAAATAGTTCTCTAGTATCACTCTTAAGAATCATGAGCTTCATAGCTTGAGTGGTATACAGGGTATGAGCCTTGTACCTTTCAGCTTATTTGGTTATTACTTCCGGAAGCAAAACTTGTCTATTAAATCTTTGAGCATCCTTTTAATGAGTAAAATTTTGGCCCTCTGATGTATAACTGCAGTGTTGCATTAGTAGTGGATGGTCCTGAAATGTACAATCGGATGTTTGAAACATTCCACTCACAAGCTAGAGTAAGGTTTATCATTTTGCTATGGGGAGAGAAATCAAGCTTAAAAAGCGGAGAAGTAGAAACTCCCATATATAGTTATAAGGAGATAATAAAGTTGGGACAAGAAAGTCGTACAGCTTTACTTCATTCTGGAGATGCTAGTAAGTCCATCTGAGTTGTTATTTAATGTGTTAGTAGCAAAACATTTTATTGCTTTAATATGCGTTACAAGATATGTAATTTTGCTTGTGTAATAGAGTGTATAGATTAATCTTCCATTTTTCTTTTCTAGAACTATTGTTTCATGAATCAGCTTTATCATCAAGTTAACTGTTGACTTTTTCTTAGAATGATGGGTGTGCATAGCAGATTTTTTTATATTAAGTTTCATTTTAGTTTGTAGAGGTTCTAAACTTGAATGATCTCAAGTTAGGTCATTCTAATGAAATTGTACAATACATAGATAATGTGTATGGAGGACATTTATGTACTCTACTACCCTGGACAATTTTGGCGTATTTTAGTATCTGCAGGGAACCCCACATAAATCAAGTATTTTAGTTAAGGATCAAGAATAACCCTATGTGATCGAGGAGTTGTGGTTGAAACAGGGTCCAGTTATCAGATCCTAAAGTCCGGGAATTAAATAGTAATTCTCCTTTTTAGATTACAGAAAACATGTATTTATGAAAGATTTGTTCTGTAGATTTTCTTTTAAAAATGTCTTGAAAATAGTCTTTCAGTTTGGCCTCAGGCTTGTCAGAACTGTTACAAAGTAGTTCATGATTATGAGGTAGGGATATCTTATGTGTATTGTCTGAGCATGAAAAATCACTTTTTTTTTTCCCAGATATTTTTTCTAACAGTGAGCAATCTTGACACCCTTGTTGATAAATGTGATTTTTTTTTTTTTCCAGGGAGGCAGTATACTTGTACAGCTATCAGCTCTGATGATATTGCGACTCTCTTGTATACAAGTGGCACCACGGGTAATCCTAAAGGCGTGATGCTAACACACAAGAATCTTCTACACCAGGTTGGTTGTTTTATGGGTCGTATGTAGATTTATTAAGATATTTAGGTGTCGTACTTATACATCTAAAGGTGCATTTAGATGTATCATATCTGTCTTCTGATTAGGTGTTTTACAAAAAAACATCATTTAATGAGATATTCTGTTGTTCAATACTTAGGTCTCAACCTTATGGGACATTGTGCCAGCTGTTCCTGGAGATAGATTTGTGAGCATGCTTCCACCTTGGCATGCATATGAACGGGCCTGTGAGTATTTCATATTTACTCATGGTGTTGAGCAAGTATACACCACTGTCAAGAATCTGAAGGTATGTTATAAATGGATGTGTTATGCCTTTTTGAGTTCCTAGTGATCTATTCCTTGATTGATTGATATATTTTATTTTTATTTATTATGTCACAGTAAAGCTATATGTTAATTTGATTGCAGGACGATTTGCGCCGTTTTCAGCCTAAATATGTTATATCCGTCCCTTTAGTATATGAGACGCTTTGCAGGTAAATTTTAGGCTTCCTACTTCCATGGTGCTGCTAAAAGCAGTGATGGATCTCATATCCGTTGGATATTGATGGAGAAACATAGATTATGTGTAATTGTTATACGTTGGCTTGGATTTACCAATTCTGGGAACATTTATTGGATTGAAAATGATTTAATGAAAAAAGTTAAGGTTAGATGCCACTTTTGATGTTTGCAGTTAAAAGCACGTACGATCCGTTCTCCTTTTAATTTCACCATCTGCCATTATCTTTTTCTTTTCTTGTGCATTTCCGGGTCATGTATTATTCACGGTATTTCAGAATATTAGATTCCATAATTTGTTCGGTTTTGCACACAAACATGGTCCCCTATTATCTTATTTCCTTTTGAGATTCAGGGCATGCTAACAGAGTTCTACTTCAATCGTCGAATTTTAATGATTACAATAACTGCACTTTCTGTATCATTTTCTGCGCCAATTTAATTATGTACCCATTTTGGTCTTTTTAGTTTAGGATAGATCATTGAGGTTGGTTTTCTCTTATGGCAGTGGGATACAGAAACAGATCAGTACGAGTTCTGCTTCTCGTAAATTTGTTGCTCTTCTATTTTTAAAGATCAGTTTAGCATACATGGAGGCCAGGAGAATTTATGAGGTTGAACTTTCTGAATTTGGTTAGGTTGTTTTTCAGAATTTGTGAAGTGTGATAACTCTTTGAACTAATTACTGGCAACGATAACTTTACTTAATAATTCGATTGGATGATAATCTTAACCAACATTTTCTGCAAAGATAACAATATGGTAGCAACGATACCAATTAGCTATTGTAAATGAGAACCTTAATTTGATACTTTGTCATAATCTTACTGCTTTATATTTTCTATTAACACGAACAACTGTTGGAATACCTTCACTTGACAGTGTAAGATTCTATGCATGAGTCAGTTGGAATGCAGCAAAGAAGCAATGCTATGTATTTAAATATCATCTTCACTGTGATGTATATTCTTTAAGTTATAACTAATAGTCTTGTTAAACCTTATATTTACTGCTGGGTCCTTACTTGTCAGCCTTGGACAAATAAAATCCTTGGTATGTCCGACAGGGAAATGTATGCAACATTAATCGTATCTTATGAGCAACTGAAATTATGTAGATTAAGTACTCATTTTATATTTTCTTGTAAATGAAGATAAACTATTCTGAATGGCTAGGTTACTTGGAAAAAGGTTGCTTGATTCTTTACTTCTTAGTACTCATTCTGGTTCTTATTATCCTTAGTATTTTTTATCTGCTTCCAGGGGAAGTGTCTTGAGAGGAATCCCGAACAACCTACGCACCTTGCTGCATTTTTTGATTGGCTATTGGCTAGGATCATTGGTACCATATTGTGGCCGTTGCATGCATTGGCAAATAAAATTGTCTATAGTAAAATTCATTCTGCTATTGGCATATCAAAGGTTTGTAATTTTATATTGCATGGTAGATACTTACTGTTATCTATCCCTTATAAGGGATCTTCAAATGGTACAATGTTTGAGAATAATAAGCATGGGCTTATTTTCAACTTGTGCCAGGCTGGCATTAGTGGAGGGGGCAGCTTGGCTCCACATGTCGACAGGTTCTTTGAGGTTAGTTGTTTCAAAAAAAAAAATAGTTAATTATACAAGGGGACTTCAGTGTCTGTCTCAAGGTAATGTTTTTNCTATAACAGGCGATTGACATAAAGCTCCTAAATGGATATGGTTTGACAGAAACGTCTCCTGTGGTTGCCGCTCGACATATGAACTATAATGTAAGCAACATTTTCCATTTGTTTACAAGTAAAAGAAGTTCAGGCTCCATTAGATCAAATTTGATCTTTCCCTCAGCTTATTTTCAATTCAATTAGATGAATCTGTCCCTTTTATCCGTTTCGAGGCAGGATATGTTCTTTCACCATTGCATATTCGGTAGTATGAGTGCGAAATTAGTTTCAAATGCATAGGTTACATTCTGTGTTTTCTTGCATGGCACATTTTTTCTTGACAGACTTAATGTTTGAAGGTTCTTGGTTCAATTGGACGGCCTATTCGAGACACGGAAATAAAAGTTGTTGATGCTGAAACAGATGAGGTTCTTCCTCATGGATCGAAAGGCATTGTGAAAGTAAGGGGCCCACAAGTGATGAAAGGTTATTACAAGGTTAGCTTCATCTCTTATTATTATGGCATGTTGAGGAACTAGATGCTGAAAGGTCTCTACTCTCAACAACTTAAAGGCTGTAGTTTGAAGCTTGTAAATGAAATATTGTAACTATCCAAAATATTCTTACATGTCTGATTCTCAATAATTTTATTTTTAATGTTCTTATTTATTTAGTGAATGATTATGTAATGTTATTTAATGTTATCCGGTTGAGTTGGTTCATACTGCTTATGTCTATTAAAATTAAACATGATTGTTGTTCTTGAAATATGTCCATTCAGAATCCATTGGCGACTAAACAAGCAATAGATGAGGATGGTTGGCTAAATACTGGTGATATTGGTTGGATTTGTCCTCATCATTCTAGAGGACGGAGTCGTCATGCTGGAGGAGTAATTGTTCTAGAAGGACGTGCAAAAGATACAATAGTCCTTTCGACTGGTAAACTAAGCTTCGATGTTGAAATAACTTGTTACATCCAACTTCATAAGCTAACTGTACGATTGTGTCATGTACACCTCTAGTTAAAGAGAGATGACAATGATTTTTTTTTTTTTTTTTT